CGGTTCTCCCCTTTCTTCCCATTGTAGTTCAACGGCATCTTCATCTTCGCCTTTTCTCTCTCCTTTGCCTTCTCAGGCTCAATAATGGGACCTGTGGGGGCTTTCCTGGACCTCTCTGGAGCTGGTGGATTGTAATCTTTCTTCTCTTTCTTATTTCCCATGGCAGGCGTCCCCAGTCAGGTTCTCCTCTTTCTCTCTGCGCTTTCTTTTCTTCTTTCTTCTCTGTTCTCCTGGGTTCCTTCGACTTCCAAAAAAAAAATATTTTGAAGGCTCGAAAAAAACAAACCCCCTTGACAAGATTTGCCAATGTGGCGGCTACCTCTTCTCTGCTCTGCTCTCCTATTTCTTCTTTCCCCTGCATAGATTTCTCTATGATTTGCTTCAGTGCTGGCCATATACACAAAATGATGTTCCCAAGGACGGATGTCGGAGCTCCTTCTGTTTTTTCCCGCTTTAAACCACCAGTACCCCGCCCAGCCAAATCTGTCTCTCTTCCTCGAGTCAAGGCAGGCTTGGGCAGAGGTCCAGTATACGCTCAGTCGAGGCTCGGTAGAGCCTCGGCCCTCATACGGCTGCTCGCTCGTTTCGAAAACGAAAACGAAAACGAAAACGAAAACGAAAACGAAAACGAAAATGAAAACGAAAACGAAAACAAAAACGAAAACGAAAACGAAAGGGCACGACCAGAGAAGCCAACGAAGGTACAAGTACCGGTCGCCCGCTGTACGTTTGCTTCTCACCATCTGGCATCCCCATACGACACAAAGTGGTTCACTACCGGTAGCTTGCCAAAAAAGAGGTTCGGACGAGTGCCCCGTAAGGTACTGGTGGCTTAAAACTTTCTCTCATTTCTTCCCGGCTCTGTTTTTCTTCTTGTTTCCTCTCTAGGAGATCCTCTTTCCTTTCCTTTTCGTCTCTCCAATGTCTGCTCAAGCTGCTCAATGTTTGTATATGTCAGGGGTCTCCACTTTCTGTTCCTGGTTTTTCTGACCTGCAGCAATCATTTTCAAAACCAGGGGCTACAGGTTTTGTCCGCTCCAGGCCCGCAAGGTTCTTAAGAACAGCCACTTCCTCCCGGCTGGATGAAATGAAGGTCAGAAAAAACAGGAACAGAAAGTGGTTGTAAATGATTGCTGAAGGTCAGAAAAAACAGGAACAGAACGAGGTTCAGCTGGTGGCTACTATGACTTGCACACCTGTCACAGCACTAATCATTTTCCGCTCCAACGCTCTATAAGATCAATGTGGCTGTAAAGAGTCTGACCTGCATCTGCATCAGGACCTGCTGTGTGGAAGGTCCCGTTCTTTTTTTTCCGTTCCGGTCGCAATCTGGCCTCTAGCTTTGAGTTCATCTTCTTCAGCAGCGAAGCGTTTGAAAAGTGTAAGGGGAAGAAAAACTGGACAATGAATGTTGCATACCGTATAGGTGCAGACCAGAACAAGAACCGACCTTTCAATACAAAGTATAAGATAGCACAGCGGAAGACTTAGATACCAGTGATCCGAACAATCAATGTTGTAATGCAGCCCTGAACATACATCATCATCATCGTTTCATAGTGTGAATGGGTCTGGCGCTTCACACAGGAAGACAGCGCCAGCCCAGAACATGCACAGACGAGGAGGAAGGGGATAGACGAAGAGGAGGGGGAAGATGGGAATGTCGTCAACACCAAGTCTTCGGCACAAGCCCAAATAGTCCCTCGTCGAACTGTCTGAATCCCAAATGTCACGTCTGGATCCAATGTCGTCAAGTCTCAAGTCACAACTCTGTCTCTCTCTGTCGTGGTCTGAGAAGTCAGGTGGCGAGAGGGTGAGAAGAGAAGGTGGACTTAGAAGAGGAAGAAGAAGAACTCTCTCTCTCTCTGTGTCCAGTACTAACCTGTGAAGTTGGCGCCTTGATGCAGGTACCACGAAGATGGAGCTGGAGCGATGGCCCCACAGGTAAGTAACACTGGCCTCCGCCAGTCTCTCCCACTCTGCGATCTACTACCTACCAGCGCCCAGCGCTGAAGACTACAGCTACAGCGCCCAGCGCCGAAGACTACAGCTAGCGCTACCACTACTGCCTAGCGCTGAAGACTACTGCAGCGCTCCTCCTGAGTGCTGCGGCCGAATCCTGAAGACTACCTCTGCCTACCGACCTCTTCCTGCAGGGCGGGCCAGTCCTTTATAGTGCTGGCCCGTGCAGGAGGCTGGCCGTGCCAATGCCTCCCTGGCCTAGACCCTGCGGAAGCTTCCAGGCAAGAGCCTGGAAGTTCCCTGAAGTTTCCCTGTAGGGAAACAGGCTGGGGCCTGTAGGCCCTGTCAGAAGGAAGCTTCCAGGCAAGAGCCTGGAAGTTTCCCTGTAGGGAAACAGGCTGGGGCCTGTAGGCCCTGTCAGAAGGAAGCTTCCAGGCAAGAGCCTGGAAGTTTCCCTGTAGGAAAACAGGCTGNTTTCCCTGTAGGGAAACAGGCTGGGGCCTGTAGGCCCTGTCAGAAGGAAGCTTCCAGGCAAGAGCCTGGAAGTTTCCCTGTAGGAAAACAGGCTGGAGGTCCGGGACGGGCCCTGCAGGGCCCGTGTGGCTGCACAGTATGCCACACCCCCCCCTCCTTGAAAGACCGAGCTTACCTACGAGGGCGAAGCTGTCTGTCTGAGGGAGGGACCACAGTCCGGGTGGGAGGGGCAGGTCGTGGAGGTCCCTTGGCTAACCTCTGTCGCTCGTAATGAGCGTAGATCAGCGGTGCAGACGCTTTCAAATCTGCTCCTGAAATCCACCGAGTGTCGTCGGGATCGCATGCTCTGAATGTAACTTTGTACTGGCGCGGCTTGCTGCCATACTTGCGATCTGAGATGACGCGGTCAACCTCCTGATGACCATCCATAGAAGGAGGGTCCTGCGATCGTCGGCCCGGGAAGTCATCGCTCTTAGCTGGTGTATATGTTGCCAGCTTTGACGCATGAAAGACTGGATGGACCGTCAGATGCTCAGGAATGTCGATCACAAATGAAGGGCCATYGGGCTCATCGCCCGCAGCTGATGTCACTGTCCATGGTCCAAACCACTTAGGGAGYAGTTTGCGTGAGACATCCTGTTCCAACGCAAACTCTTCCGAGGAGACCCAAACTCGATCTCCGACGCGGATGGGACATGGTACGCGGCGCCTGTTGGCTTGCTGCTGCATGCGGACTTGAGCCTTTTGCATGTTTGTGCGGGCTTGAGCCAGCAATTCCCTGTACTTCCGGACGGAAGCGGGAGAGCAAGCGGCGTCAATGTCGGCTGGTCGAGGGAGGAGAAGATCAGCGAAGATACGGCCTTTCCGTCCACCGTGGTGCAACTCGAATGGAGTCACACCGATCGCCGGATGCACCGAAGTGTTGTAGGGGAACTCGATGTCGGGGAGGCGGTCAACCCAATCCTTCTGGTCCGGACGGACGAGCGTACGAAGCATCATTTGAGCGGTCGTGTGCCCGCTCCGTTTGCCCGTCTGTTTGTGGATGCCGAGCCGAACTGGGTTTCATCGTCGTGCCGGACTCCTGCATGAGAGAGGTCCAAAAAGTCGACATAAAACGAGTGTCGCGGTCGCTGACTATGTCCTCAGGTACGCCGTGGCCACAAATCCAACCGGTGTGCAAGAGGCGTGCCAGCTCGGGAGCCGTGGAGTAGTACTTGCAAGGAAGAAAACGTGCGTACTTGCTCAATCGGTCCACAACCGTGAGGATGCCGTCGTGCCCGAGCCGGTCKCGAGGAAACGGACCGGTGACATCCATGGCAATGGAGATACCGGGTTCCCGGGGGATAGGCATCGGGCGTAACTCGCCATAGGGATTGCGGTTGCGAGGTTTGCTGCGTCGGCAAACTTCGCAAGAATCGCAATACCGCATGACATCGGAAATGAGGTCACGCCATCGGAATCGTTGTCGAAGCCGTGCAATCGTGCGATTGACTCCGAAATGGCCGGCGAGTCGCGAATCATGATACTCGCCGAGAAGGCGAGTCCGAAGACGGCGGTCGCGTGGGACACACAGTAAGTCCTTGCCTCTCGAGTGGAGGAGCAAGTACCCGTCGGCAATGCGATAGTGGCTGGCCGGCGGGTGATCCGAAGATAGCTGCGCATACAACGTAGCAAACTCTGGGTCAGACTGATAGCCCCTGATGAAGTGTCACTGGAGGTCCTCGTCGAACGCGAAGGCGTGATGCGTCATAGCGCAAAGATCAGGTCGTCGCGAAAGTGCATCTGCTGCGCCATTGGAGAGGCCGTCAACGTGTTTCGGTGTGAAGTCAAACTGGTCGATGAAGTACATCCACCGTCCAATCGTGCTGCTCACCGTGTCCTGCGTCTTGTAGTAGGTCAATGGGTTATTGTCCGTGACCCATGTGAACCTACGACGCCCAAGAAGGAAGTGTCGCCATCGCTTGAGAGCCATGACGAACGCAAGCAGCTCCTTCTTCCTTGCATCATCCAGAGAATTGATGGGAGGCACTTTGTGGCTGAAATACTCCAGAGGGTGCCAATCCTCGCCGTCGTGCTGCTCCAAGACTGCCCCAATGCCGTAACCGGAAGCGTCAGTCATCACTCTCGTAAGCAGAGTGGGGTCGTAGATGCTAAGGACGGGTGCCATGAGCATGGCCGTCTTGAGTGCTTGGAAAGCCTGGCGCGCGTCGTCATCGAATACGAATGGCACCTTTGGCGATTGTAGTCTCGTCAGAGGTGCGGCAATCCTTGAGTATCCGGTGATGAAACGCTGATAATAGCCTGCCAACCCCATGAATGAACGAATGTCCGTGGTGTTGGTGGGCTCGGGCCATACACGGATGGCCTCGATCTTGTCCGCAAGCGAACGGATGCCTTGCAGCGTCACATAGTGTCCCAAGTACTCCAGCTCCTGCTGTGCGAACTCGCACTTGTCGCGGTTTGCTTTGTACTTGGCCTGTCGTAGCCGCTCCAAAACGGTGCGCADGTGTTCCACATGCTCGTCCAGACTCCGGCTGTAAACCAGAATGTCGTCGAGGTAGATAAGTACGAAACGATCCAGCATGTGTCGGAACTCCGTCGTTATAGCCGATTGGAAAGTGGTTGGGGCATTCGTAAGGCCAAATGGCATGACCAGCCATTTGAAATGCCCATACCGTGTCTTGAACGCGGTCTTGTAGCGATCCTCCTTGCGAATCTCGAGTTGGTGGTACCCTGACTTGAGATCCAACTTAGAGAAGAACTGGGCGCCGCCCAATCGCTCGAGAAGGTCGTCGATGCGTGGGAGAGGGCCGGCGTTCCTGATCGTTTGCGCGTTGAGCTTGCGATAATCGATGCACAACCGCAGGTCCTTGTTCTTCTTTCGGACGAAGAGGACAGGAGCACCGTATGGCGATGAGCTAGGCCGAATCCAACCTTTCTCTAGAAGATCGTCAAGTTGTGCACGGAGCACACTTAA